TCTGGCCGGCAACTTTCAGCGTCATTAAGCCGCTGCGCCACCGCGTCCCCCTGTTCAATGTATAAGCTGCCTCAATTGTCCAAGTAAGTCATTCAAAAAATCCTAAAAATATGCCCCCAGAAGCAGAGGTAGGAATTGGTGCTATATTATAATATGTAATAAGATGTAATAAGAATTTCACATCTTATATCTGATCTGAAGATACATGTCAAGAAGGTTGCCACAAGGGTTTTAGTATGAAGCTGTCCTCACTTCCTACCTTGGGCAACTCCAAAGACATGATGCATTGGAAGAAAAGAAGAAAACAAATACTTTGTCTACCTACCTTGTTTTCTTAACACCTTTTCCAGGAAAAAAAATCCAAAATTATATTCATGCAGCATACTATAAAGAAATGATATTTTACCAACAAGCAGTATGACTGAGACACATAACAGTGAGATGAATCTGAAATAATAGATTATTTCAATTTGGTCTGCAGATGGTGGCATATATATTTGAATCTTGTTCTTGAATTTACTTGTTGCAAACTCAACATGGCAAACTTCATGGGAATCATTCTTAGCACACTGGTAACTTTAAACTTCAGTGTGATCCAAACACAAGAGAGAAAATATGTTAGGGTGAGCCCTACCATGAAACAGACTGAGTCAACTACCTCAAGTGGAAGATGCTGGAGGATATGTAGTGGTGATGAGGTATTGGAGGGCAGAGTTGTGGTATTACCTAGCTTCTCTATATTTTCCACAAACTAGCCTTCTGCCTTTAGCTGCAGTGGAGAATGCTCATCTAATCGTGCTGAAGTAATATTTAGCTGCCAGTCCATTCAGCTTCTGAATGTGGGATGGTGTCTATGTGAGGATGAAATTCTATATTTCAAGCAGGCTTAATCTTTAATATATAGGTCTTTAATCCTGTGTTTCTCTATGATTTAAACCAGGCCAATGTTTAAACGGTAACTATTATAGTGCCATCTAGTGGAACAAAACTTGTGTCCGCTATTTATGTATGGAATGCAGTGTACCTATAGTAATTGTTCTAAATAATGACTTAGCTATTTAGGAATCCGAACAGAAAATTCTTGGTGATAAGCATGTGTTCTTTCTCCCTTTCTTCTACTGCTTATTTATATAAGCATCTTCTAAACCTTTGATCAGGAACTCCATTTAATTGAATAGGAGAGCTCCAGAGCAGCATGCATGGGAAGGATGCCTTGGAGGAGAGTAAAAACAACAGAATAATCCAGCTTTCCTCAACCTCAGCACCCTCCAAGTGGGTGGACCAACTCTTAGAATTCTCAGAGATGTGTCTCCTGGCTGGGTAATTCCTGAATTGGAGTTTACATTTCTGGAAGGTGCCCAGTATGAAGTAGTCATCTCAGGAGAAGACCTATAGCCAGTTTTTATTTGTATGTTATCAGTTAACAAGAAACTTACTGGTTTTCCACAAACTTCTAGAGACGGAGCTTTTTTGGAGAGCCTTCCCCTGATTTGAGTGTTGCTGCCTTCTTTTATTCTATATTTTTGTGATATTGTATTTTTAATTTTGAAATGGGATTTATTTTATATTGTATTTTTTAGGTGAGCAACCGAGAGTTGTTTTTGATTGTGGCAGCATACAAATATGTTTAATAAATATTACTGATTGGTCAGTTCTTAAACACGGTTGCTTAATTTTTCAGGACAATTGCTTGTGAGTTCATTGCATGGGTAATTTCAAGGTTTTTTGCAGTTAGGGCACAGTTACTGTGCCTTATCCATATAGTCATATAATTAAGGGGAACACTGTTTCTTGACTACTATCTTCCATTATAACTCTCCCATTTTTCTCCATCATTGGGTATCATGAACAACTGTAAGTTAACCAGAAAATCGGAACTACTTCATTTTGGTAGAGTCTGATGTGTATTTACCTTAGTGTGCCCTTAGAATCGTGAAGTGTGGTGGCAGGAGTAGGCAAATGTATATGTTGCCCAATCTCAGGGCTTAAAAATAGAAAGTAAGAAACATCTCCAGAATGTCGTACCCACGAAAGACAGGTATGGTTCTTCTCTGTTCTAGCTCACATTTTATCCTCTGAGGCATGTTATTCGGTCATTTGTACAATAAAGTGTTTATACCTTAATAATAAGAGTAACAACTGTTTATAGGCAATTCTTTGCATATCTATTCATAAGTCCTATTGAGATAAATGTTATATATTCCTAATAGTTTTTGTAGCAGTTTTTGCCAATCTGATACTTTTCAGATGTGCTAAGACCTCAGTTTCCAGAACTGTCAACTAATAGGATCAGAATGGGGAAGGATGATGTATGGGGTTACGGTACTTATGGATTCAGTATTTCAGTAAGTCACATCACTTCACATACTGAAGCAAGTAGACTTGTAATATTTTCTCATTGCAGATAGGGGCAGGGAGAAATTGAAATGTGAGTAGTTTGCCAAGTAAATCCAGTAAATGTTGAAGCATGATTCAAATTGGGACCTTCCTAATTCATTTAATTAGAGTTATGCTGTGCATATCTATTCAGCAGTAAATCCCACTGAACTGTTAGATTCATATCAGAGAAGTGTATCTATATAGGATTGTAACCCTGAACTATACTTTCTTTGCTGCTTTCAAGTCATGTTATTTGATAAATTGTTAATAAAGACAACAGAGTTAATGATCTATGTTGGTTTTTCTCAGTTCTTTGGCTTCCAGCTCTGTAGTATTCTTACTAAAACTTGATATATAAAGTCAGTATATAACACTCTAAGAAGTTAATTGCACATTTTATTAATCAAGTCTGTAATTTAAACACTTGTTCTGAAAGATGATCAGAACAGCTTACAAAATTATTTAAAAATCACATCAATATTCTAACCAGTAAATCATTAAAAAAAAACACATGCTATTATATAACAAACACCATCAGACAGAAATTAAATCAAATAAATGTAAATTGATTGATACAGGAAAGCCACGTCAAGCAAACTTCCCTGGAAAAAGTGGGGCACCAACACTCAGAAGGCTTTTGCATGCCCTACTCTCTCCTTGCTTTAGAAAGCAAAATTTTCAGAATATGTGGTATGAAAAGAATATTGGAATCAAATCAGTGAATAGAGTTGACACCATCACCACCAATAAAGCCAAAGGCAATGGTCCAAAAAGGAGGAGAATCATGATATTTGAAGCCTAAATCTGGTAGTGTAGCTTTCCTTAAGCTTAGAGCAGCCATTTGGGCTGATTGCAAAGAAT